TTAAATATATTAAATAGTAAATAAATACTAAATATACTAAAAATTATATTATTTAAAATTTATTTAGTAAATATTATTACTTCTTCTTATTATTAAGTACATTTATTTATTTTATTATTTAATATATTTATTTATTTGATCAATATTTATTTAATACACAAAAAAAAATTAATTATATTATATAATATATTATTTCATAAATTTTATTATTTAGTAAATATTATACATTATATTAAATTTATACAAATAATATAATGTATAATATTTACCAAAATAAATGAATTTATTAAATAATATAAATATATTATTATTTATTATATTATATAAACATAATATTATTTATTATATTATATAATATATTTATTTATTTGGTAAATGTTATTATTTATTATATTTATTTCTTTGGTAAATATTTATTTAATAATCATATTAAATTTAATTAAGTACGTTAAATATTATTTAGTAAATAATTAAATACTATTTATTTATTAAAATATTTAACTAATATATAGTTATTTAATATCAACATCCTTCAATATATTTATTTAATATATATATATATATATATATAATTACTTAACATATTTATCTATTTAATATATATATTTAAAAATGATGAATAAAGTTATAATATATTATTTATTTTAATATCCAATATTTTTTTATTCAGTAAAAATATATTTAATATACAAAAAAGTTTATTTAAATTAAAAAGTAGTAAAAACTGAATAATATATATATTATATAAAGCGAATTTAATAATATTTAATAATTTATTTATAATATTTACTCATTAGTAAATATATATTTAATATATTAATAAAATTAAATGAATTTAATAATATATGCATAATTTTTATAATAAAAAGTAGTACAAATTGAATAATATATATATATATTAGATAAAAAGATGTTGGTAGATATATAATTGAAGTTAGATAATTAACAAAATTGGTGCTAGCTAAAGTGGTTCATGAGCTCCTTTTGTGCCCCATTGGACCTGGGTTTGAATCCCCTCAACAACATATTTTTTGCAATTATTCCACATAAGCGCCACGTGGCATTACAACTCAGCAAAAAAAAAAAAAAAAAAAATTCGGCGAATTCCACGTAGCTCAGTCGGTCACAATGACTTGATATAGATGGTCAGAGGACCAAAAAACTATTTTTTTTTCAATTAGGAGACTATTTCTAAAAACAATCCATTTACGGTACCAAATTAAAAACGGCCTGTAGATAAAGGACCAAAAAAACCTTTTTTTCCCATGAAATATGTCTCCTTCTCTTTAGACATATAATACGTAACCTCCTCCCCGTATCTATTACATCCTCTTTCTATACAGGAAAAATTAATATTTTCGGCCATCTTATTTGGACTACTTCAACATCTATTCATCATTAATAAAAAAACCCAATTGATCTGATTTAATTTATGATGTTGTAATATTTAGGAAATAAATTGGTTAAGTATGCGTCGGATGCAGTCATATGGAAAAGAAATAGGTTCCCTTGTTATGAAGTTGAGATCGTGCTCGTTGTCATTTTCTTGGGGTTTGGGATTTTCGGTTAGGCGGTGGGGAGTGTTTATTCTAATATTTATTTTTGTGTTTTTTTAGTTTTCCGAGTTTGTAGTGTGTTTTTATTCTTTCTTTGAGAGTTGTATTTTCCCTTTGGGAATTATATACTCCTGTTGGGAGCCTATGGGTGTGTGGCGGCTAATTAGGCAGCCTGTCGGATTGTCCTCCCATGGAATTCAGTTGTCTAGTTGCTTTTTTCGGCTGTTACCGGTTATCTCCTTCATTTATATCTATGTGTTTCTATCTATGATATTTTGCCGTTTGAAAAAAAAAAAATAAAAAATGAATATCAAAGAGTCAATTTTTGTTAAATCACCAAAAGTGTCCAGAATTTAAGTGAAACTTGAAAGTGAAATTTTCTTATATGTACATTGTCCTTACCGTCCCCCGGTTGACATGACTACAACATACGTGTTAAAAGTAGGAAGATGCTGCGGTTTGTGGAACTATTGTGTTGAAATTTATAACAGTTAGATCAACATTAGGTATATGGTGAGTATGTAGTTATGAGATCAAGATATTGGTTGGTGCTAGTGATGTAAACTAACCGAACGATTCACGAACAAAAGCTTCTTCGAGCTCGTTTATGCTCGACAAAAGCTACTTCGTTTGTTAATTGCGAGTTTGAACAGAAAATTAGGCTCCCTTAATAATCTAACGAACACGAGCTCGTTCGCAAACGTTTGATAATTTTCATGAACATTAATTTAATATAATTTTATTTTATTTTTTATATATTTACATAATACTTTTAATATAAAATCTAAAATATAAAAATATTTTTAGTTTAATTTTTTACTTTCGTGTTCGAACGAACAAATTTCGAGTTACTCAAGCATATTTAAAAAGTTTATGTATTAAATTATTCGAATATGAATGAACTCGAAATTTGACCAACAATTAAAGAAACGAGCACGAACACGAATTTTTGCACGAAAAATAAACGAACGAATATGAACACTGTTCGAACGTAAACGAACACGAGCTCGAAAAGCCCAAACTCGATTTAGTTCGGTTCATTTACAACACTAGTACTTGGTGCACAAGATTTTATATGGCCATGGTGAACTATTCAGATAAAGTATATTATAAAAAAATATAAGGGCCATCACTATCAGTGCTACTACCGTGCACCCTGGCACACCTTGCTAGGTGTGCCAGGGCGCACCTAAGTATTTGCGCATCACTATAGCATATATTCCTCTCACTATTTGAATAATATTTTGGGAAAGATTTTGAAAAGGTGATTGATGTAAAATAAAAATTTCAAAGTTACAATTAATTAGGTGTAGGTTTAATAACATAACTTGTAATATTAAAAAATATATATGAATAGATAAATGAAAGAGTGATGAATACTTTTTATAAAATATATCTAAAAATGTCCTTTATAAAGAGCCCAAAATCTCCAAATCTCCCTTAGAGTGTGATTGTATATAAATTTTGTTCCAACAAAATTTTTTCTTCTAAAAGGTGAAATAAAGCGGAAAATAGTAATTTATGAAAAAAAAATATTTTTTTTTTATGAGATAAAAATATTACGATTAAAGTTGATGAGATAAAAAAATAAGAAAATGATAATAATGATAGTTAGAAATGTGGAATTAAAAAAATTTTAGATCCAGTAACAACGATACTCTGCTCTCGCGACAAAAATCATCGGCGCCGCTCTTGAGGTCCGTTTCTTAATCCGGCCGATTGGCCTTCCTTCTCGCCGGAATATGCCCAGCCAGGGGTCGTCCTGACCGCCCTCCTCCTCCCCTTGCCGTTTCGCTCCTCCGATTCGCCGTGTTTGGAGGCGATTAGGGTTCCGATTCACGACAGTGGATGGGGCTTTCAATGGCGGATGCACCTCTTCCGGTCGACGATGGCCCTGTGTCTGGTTTCCTCTCTTCCAACGCAGTCAAGTCCCGTCGGGAGATCGTAAGTCCCCTTTTCTCGCCTCTGCCCGCTTGGTTTGGATTTGGTCGTTCCTGGCGGAGCTCTGTCTTTCCGATGGGGCTCCGATCCCTGGTTGTCTGCTTGTTGTGGCGGGGTCAGATGGTGCGAGCGTCATTGGGTGGGGAGGGACCCCGATGGCTGTGGCGGTTCACGTTGCGGTGGTTGGGGTCGGAGGCTTGAGCCTCGCCCACCCTCCCGGTTCAGCTAGTGGTGTTAGATGGCCGGGGTTTGATGCTATCCGACTCGTCTAGTGGTGTTAGATTTGCTCGGGTGGCACCAGTGTGGGGGTTGTTTGTGGCTTCTCGGTCAATGACGGGTCGATTCGGGGATCGGTTTAGGGTTCAGGTTAACCTACTGTATAGGCCTTCTGCAGTTTCGGTAGCGGCTCCTGGACCTCGAATCCATCTTGTGTCGATCGCTTCACTGCTAGTTGGGCTAGGTCGTGCGTCGAGGAAGGGCTCCGTTTGTTTTATTTCTGTTTATTTCGTTTCATGTAGGTGTGTTGTCGTTGTTGTGTTTTTGTGCTAGTTGTGTGTTGTTGTTGATGATGTTTTTTAGGTTTGGGCCGTTGGCCCCGGTTCGCTCGAGTGTGACCTTATTATCCTGTTGGGATCTCACACTCGAGCATTACCCTGTTGGGGCCGTGTTAGTGTCGTGTTTTTTACCCTGTTGGGGTCTTTTTTAGTGGTTGTGTTTTTTGGTTGTTAGGGTATTACCCTGGTAGGGTCGGTTCTAGGCAGGTCTTATGACTTGTCCTCCCATTTTTATTCAGCTGGTGGTTGGGTGTGTATTCAGCTGGTGATTGTACTCTTGCACTTTTGTGCCTTTTATATCATTTCTATCGTTCCGAAAAAAAAAAGATAGTTAGAAATGCGAACGAAAGAATAATTTTGTTGTTCGAAAAATATAATACTGAATATATTATTACTTTATGATTATTTTAATGTGATTTATAAAAAAATATTGATGTGAGATGAATAGTATTTTAAATTAAATATATATTTATTTTTCAACTATAATGAGATCACATCTTGTTGTGCAGACATATAATAGAGATTCTTTTTGTTTACAGCCTTAAAAAAAATCCAAATAACAAATGAAAACCAGCATCAGCATGCTATTCATGAAAATGCTACAGTTCGTTACGGAACAATTCTGTCGTGATTTGTAACCGTTAGATTATAATATAACCATTATGAATAGTTGATCTAACGGTAAATAACCGAACGGAATGGTTAGAATCCCGCGCATTCATATCTAGATAGCTCGCTATATAGGTAACTACGAATTTATTAGATCAACCCAAGAAAAAAAAAAANNNNAAAAAAAAAAAAAGAAAAAAAAAACGTAAAGCGTCATTTATCGAGACCACGTTTTCCCCTCCTTGTACTTGTTTCCAAATCATTATATAAACCCGCAGACGCAGCAATAATATATAAGAACCCAAATAGAAGCAGAGACCGAGAGAAAAAAAAGAGAGAGATGGAGGGAGACAACACCGACACAACGTACAAAGAATGCCTGAGAAACCATGCAGCCAGCCTTGGCAGCTACGCCACGGACGGGTGCGGGGAGTTCAGCCCCGACCACTCCTCCTCCCTCTGCTGCGCCGCCTGCGGGTGCCACCGCAGCTTCCACCGCAAAGTCATTGAAGACGGCACGAGGCAGCAGAAGCAGCAGCAGCAGCAGCCAGCGGCCGGGAAGAAACGGTCGAGGACGAAGTTCACGGTGGAGCAGAAGGAGAAGATGATGGGTTTTGCGGAGAAGATTGGGTGGAGGCTGCAGAGAAAATTAGAGGAAGATGACGAGATCGAGAGGTTCTGCAGAGGGGTTGGGATCACTCGTAAGATTTTCAAGGTGTGGATGCATAACCATAAGAACCAGCTCGTCTGCAGAACCTCGGCCGCCTGCGGTGGGAATGCTTCCTCTGATCTTACGGATCACTAGATTTATTTTCTTTAATTATTTTTAATTCCATTCTTGTGTGTGTGTATAGTGGGAAATTAAATTCAGTTATATATTGAATTATCGCGCTAGGTAAGCTTGTGCGCTTTGCATTTTTTGATTTGTTTGTGACATTTTTTTTTTTTTTTTTTTAAATGATTGGATTGTAGCCATGTTTAAATTTGTGCTTTTCATTTTGTTGTTTCTTGGTAAATCTTCTCCTTAATTTCTTTTGCTTTTCTTCTTTTTAATAAAAGCAAATGAGTTTAGGGATGTGAATTTCGGTTAGAAGGCACTAAAATATGGGGAAAGGCCAATCGGGCTTTTTTTATTTATTTATTTTTATTTTGTTTTCTGCAATCAGATTTTCAGAAATATATATAGAATTTATAGATACAAATAACAAAGTATTGTTTATTTTTATTTTTTATTTAAAAAATCAGGAGGGTGGGGGTTAGGCCGGACCCTCAACCTGTATATATAAAAAAAGGTCATAAATAGGTTAAAAAGCCACAATCTACAAGTACAATCTCTGGAATACATCAAGTCAAACGAAAAACAAAACCAGAAACAAAAAAGAAAACAAGAAAAGGTTGGTAACAGCTGCCAGTAATACAAAGATTACGTCTCTTAGTATGGAAGGGTCCAACAAAAAGTCAGCGTCACGGGGCAGCGGAAGAGCGGATGCACCAAAGGTAGGACCGACTACACAAATTTGAAAAAGGATATCACATCTGGTCCATCCATATAAGAGTGCGGAGGCGGAGAGGAATATCGTCAGGATATAGTATGCACCTCCGGGGGTGGAGTACTCGATGCCTGCGAGGAAGTCAACAGGACGGTTCCCCTCACGGACGATGTGCGAGATCTGAAAACGAATTGGCCAAAGAGTGGTCCTAATACTCATGAGCGGATGTTGAATCTACCATGTGCCCTAATGGCCAGTGGTCAAGAGAGTGATAACAACAACAAATGTGCCCTAATGGCCAGTGGTCAAGAGAGTGATAACAACAGCAACGTCCAACTCTATCTGAATGTGAGAGGAGATCGAGATAGCAATATGAAGATCGATCTGAAGCGCCTGAATCTCCGCGTCGTAGATCGAGGAGGCCCGAAGAGGGGCATGAAAAAGCGGTAATAAGAGCGCCGCTATGGTCCATAATCAGACCCTCACTTCCGGTGGCTCTGATAAGTCGGTCAAAGAATCCGTCAGTGTTTAGCTTAACCCAAGGAGGCTCGGGTCTCAGCTAAACAACAGCTCTGGGGCGTGGGTGCTGGACAGACGCCTGTGGGGGTAGTGCAAAGCGATGAGGTAGCATGCAGCCTATCCAGTCTCTCGGTGTGAGTCTGCCCAGAGCGGTGAGAAGAGATAGATGTCTGTCAACCTGCAAAATAATATGTGAACACAAAAAGGTAATATCCCTAGGCTTCGCATTATTCCTTTCTGTCCAGGTGGACTAAAGGACCAGACAAGGAATAAGGAAGCCCACGTGTCTAGCGTGTGTACTATGTGTTAAAAAACTCAGAAGCTCAAAGAAGTTATCTGTGGTGGGTAAGGGTATATGGGTGTAAATGGAATAATGCTCGAGTTAACGAAAGACCAAATAACTTAACCAAAGACAGTGTCTCCCACACTCTCCTCATAATCTCACTCTCAAGAAACATATTGGTGAAAGTCTCAGTCCAAAAGTCGTCGGTCTCAGCACAACAGTAACAACGTGAGGGGAATGAAAACCCCCTCGCCTGCACACAGTGTCACTCGGTAAGGGCGCAGAAGAAGGCGCCATAGAAAAATAGAGGTGTTCGGGGTAAGTAGGCCGGTCCAGATGGCCCCGAAGAGAAGGTTAGTGTAACACCCCGCTATTTTTAATAGAAAAATACCGATTTATTTTTCCAAAAATCAGAGTTAATTTTTGAAAAAATCAAACTAAGTGTTTATCCAACGGGCGCTACTCAAAAATCCACATAACAACAGTTAAGTCCATGCTTAACCAACGGGGAATCAACTATCCCGAACAATTATCTCACGCCAACAATTACCATGCCACACATAAAAATTTCCAACATAAGAATATCCATATTCTCATTTCATAATTTCAAAATAATAATCCAAGCTCAAATCCCAAAGCATGCATCATAATACCAAAAATAAACATAGTTCAATCTCCAGAAAACAATACTAAACATGTCTGACAATGAGATAGATAATAAATAAGTAAGCGGAAGCAGGTAAACAATTCAATAGCAGATAAATGACCCCGCCTAACTCGCCTTTTGCCACGGCCACCAGCTCAACCTGAAAAGGGGGATAATAGTGGGAGTGAGCGACCAACTTGCTCACTGTAAGAATATCATGCAGTATGATCAATATAAAAGACTAAAAATCATAATCTCAGCATGTAAGAAAATCGCCTAGTCTATAAAATACCTTCAGTGCATTGTTCAACCCGAATGATATCACTACGAACTCGTAGTGTCCATACCTATTCCAAAAGGCCATCTTGGAAATGTCGGACTCTCGAATCTTCAGTTGATGGTAGCCAGATCTCAGATCGATCTTAGAGAACACGTTGGGACCCCTCAACTGGTCAAACAGATCCTCGATTCATGTGCTGTGGGTGTTTATTCTTCACGGTTAAGTTGTTCAAATCTCTGTAGTCAGTGCACATCCGCATAAACCCATCCTTCTTTTTGACAAACAGCACGAGAGCTCCCCAGAGCGAAACACTCGGCCTAATGAAGTCAAGGTTCAGAAGTTCCTGGATCTGCGACTTCAGCTCTTGCAGCTCCTTCGATGCCATTCTATATGGTGCTTTCGAGAGTGGACTGACTTTGGGGATCAAGTCGATAGTGAACTCAACCTGTCTCTCCGGCGATCCCCTAGGAAACTCATCCTGAAATACATCCATGTACTTGCATACAATGGATACACTCTCCGGCGACAACTCCTTCTCCTCCTCACCAACCATGCTCATCAAGTAGCCTTGACAGCCACCCTTCGATAAGCTCTGCATTGCCTTCAAGGAAGATATAACTCTGGGCACGGACCTCATCTTTGCTCCATAGAAAATGATCGGTTGGCTGTCGTCGATAAGCAAATTCACCTCTCGCTCTAGGCATCTGATGTCGGCGTGGTACCGGGTGAGACAATCCATGTCGAGTATCACGTCAAAGTCCTGCATCTCGATGATGTAGGTGTTGGCCTCCAAGTTCCTCCCACCGATATTAACTCGCAGTCCTCGCACCATCGTATCAGTAACGGCCGTCTTTCCCGAGGCTAGGCTAACCTCGAGAGCATCAACCTTACTGATATTCCTAATTCCTAAGGCCTCCAAACAACGCGATGAAACGAAAGAATGCGTGGCACCAGTATTACATAGGGCAAATACAGACACGTTGGAAATGAAAAGCATACCAGACATGGTACCTGTGTTGTCTGCGGCCTCGTCGTCGGGAGAGCATAGACTCGAGACTGGCCTCTAAGTCGCTGCTAGTCCTGATGCTGGTGCTTTAGGTACTGAAGCTGATGCTGATGCGGTCTCGGGTTCTGCCTCGTCGACTCGGGGCACCTATGAGCAAAGTGTCTGAGTCGCTGGCAGTTCTAGCACGTCTTCTGAGCCGCGACACACTCTCATGCCGCATGGATCCTACCACATGATCCACACAGCAGCTGTCTCCCCATAACCTATTGAAGTGGTTGGGCTCTCAGTTGCTTTTTGCTGTTATCTGGGCGCTTAGACCTCTTGGGGTCCGAGTGATGGTCATTCTTCCTCTTGCTCGAGCTGGATGGTGGCTGAGCAGTGACAGCTGACTGAGTAATGATGGTTGACTGTGTAGGCTGGGCATAATAGTAGGAAGGGACGGGGGCAACCAGGGTCATACAACTCTCAGTTTGTTGTGCTCGGATAACAGTCTCTGCGAAAGGGAGGTCTCCGTGACTCGCCACCAAGACACGGAGGTCCTAGCGAAGCCCGTCTTGGAACTTACGAGCCTTTCTTTCCTCTGCATCCACCATATGCCGGGCGAAAGCACTCAAACGGGTAAAGGCCGGAGCATACTCCTCAACAGAAGTGGCGCCCTGCTGGAGATCCCAGAACTCCCGCTCCATATGGTCACGATAGCTCTTGGGGAAATACTTATCAGAAAAAATCTCCTTTATACTCACCCAAGTGAGGGCAGTCTGCTCAGCCTCCGTCCTCAGAACCTAATAGTCCGTCCACCCGTCGAAGGCATCACCCTCCATATGGAACTCGGCACACTCGATGCGTTGGGCATCTGAGCAACGGAGCACCGTGAAGATCGAATCCAGCTTACGGATCCACTCCGTCAAGCCTGTCGGACCCTCCACTCCAGATAAAGTCGGAGGCATCATGTTACGGAATTGCACCACCGTACGAGTGTGGTCATCATCATGGGCAGGTGGAGCCTGCTGAGCCTGCGAATCTCTACGAGGACCCATATTTATAAGACAAGTTGATACTTTAGCACAAGACTCAACCACTAATGTTCAAATTAATATAAACGAAGGAGGATAAATTCCTAAGCCCCAAATAAACAGTTAAACAATTTAAACAACACTCATACCTTGAGCTGGCGTGGCTGGACGAAGCGAGGAGTCATAAACATAAATATTTAAACAAATTCAAAAGCAGTCTATAAAAACATACACTTGCTCTGATACCACAATGTAACGCCTCGTTATTTTTAACAGAAAACTACTGATTTATTTTTCCAAAAATTTTGGTTAATTGTTGAAAAAATCAAATTAAAGGTTTATCCAACATGCACTACTAAAAAATCCACATAACAACAGTTATCCACACTTAACCAACGAGAAATCAACCATCCCGAACAAATATCTCATGCCAACATTTACCATGCCACACAAAAAATTCCAACACAAGAATATCCAGATTCCCATTTCATAATTTCAAAATAATAATCCAAGTTCAAATCCCAAAGCATGTGTTTGTCCCGTTTTTGTTGCTATTTTCGTTGCTATT